ACAACGAAGAGAACGGAGAAAACCGCGAAATTGTTGAACGCATGAAAAATCATTTTTATTATGCAAATTCTTCTATAAATCATGCCGTTGTGTTAAATTATTCTTTATCTTATGTGTACACACGTTGTCACAAGTGAAAATGAAGAAAATTGCAGTAAAAAGCNGGTTCTACGTACCGGAATGTCTCGAGTTTTAACATACCAAGGGCTGTAGTTTCGGCGATCTAACCCCGTTCAGGTCGGGGAAGTATCTCAGAAGTTGTTCGTCCATATGGCTACATTTGCTACATATTCTTCTGCTCAGGGTTGGCATCGAGTCAAACCTAGAGCCAGGAACTCTACTCCTGCTATGTATGCCAGAGGTGACTACACCACAACTCCACCTCAGTCAAGTGTAATGCTTGCAACGGGTGGAGTCACCTTAGAGTCTGCTCAGGCATACGGACTCATCGGCAGTAGACCACATCACTTGTGGCCGCCTGCTGCTCAAACAGAGCAGTATTCGCGGCTAACCCCAGTCCACCTGAGCAGCTCGACACAAACAGCACAACACCACAACCTCTTGCACCTCGCGAGATGGGACGAGGAACTTCGAAAGCCCGTGTTGCGCCGCGCGGTCGTAAACCTCAATTGCGACGCCACCCACTACCACCATAGGGTGGCACCCTACACAGCAGCGCACACAGCCAATGGCGGCAAGGTCACACACATCCCTCACACCCCGCATAACAACACGTCTCCCGAACCACATGAAGATTTTTCAATTCAACTGTAACAGACTTCAGAGCAAGATCAAGGAGATAACCGTCTTCATGGGAAGGCATTGTATATTGATAGTTGCGGTCGAAGAGGCGAAGTTGCACAGTAATTCAACATTGTTGAATTGCTCCCGATCCAACCTGCACCGTCGAGATCGTGAGCGAGATAATGGTGGTGGCTTACCGTTCATCACGCACGACACCGTGCAGTATCGTCTTGTCGAAGCAGAAATCGACCACAGGAATACCACCCTAGAATATCAGGGCATTGCTTTCCGGTCAGAAGTTGTCGAGCTCGAAATATTTAACGTTTATATACCCCCTGTTACTAGCTGCATGGCAGGATATCATCCTGATAGAGGTGCGCTCGTCGGAGGTGAAAACCGTATGGTAGGTGGTGACTTTAATACGCACGATCTTTGGAATTGAAGCCTGTCAAAAGATCGTAGGGGAACAGACTTGGCTGAGCAGATAGACGATTCGACATTCTGCACAATGAACGACGACGCACCCACCAGAATTATGGGCAGCTGCTGCAGCTCGCCAGACATAACAATAGTCAGCGCTGGTCTGATAAACAGCGTATCATGGCGACCTATGCTGACCTTGGCATTGACCATCTGCCCATAGTCATCTCGATCGATAAACCAACCGGCTTTGCTTCCGCGGAACACCGGACATATATCAACTTTTCTAAAGCTGATTGGAAAGGCTTTGCGGAATTTACTGAGAGCACCTTCGCTGCGCACCCCACACCAAACCGACGTCCACCTTGGTGAACTTAAGTTCCGCAGCGTTGTTACTGCTGCTTCTGCAGGATACATTACGGAACCCCGTCCAAACTTCCCTGCTGATGCGACTGTTCTAGCCGATGAGCGTGACAACCTTCGTCAGGCCGATTCCGGAAATCCCCGTATCAGGGATCTCAACGCGGAGATTCGACAGCTTGTGAACGTGCATAAGCGGAAAAAGTGGGAAGACCATCTGAAGACTTGTAACTTCATCTCTAGTGTGAGTAAGCTTCGGTCAACCGTGAGGTCACTTTCCAATCCGACGAAGCACGACGAAAGGGTCGAAATTTCTTTCGGCGACCAGGCTTCATCGGACCCGTAGCGATGCGTGAGCTATTTTAGCCGACAGTTCACACTGCATCCTCCGGCGAACAAAGCCAAGCGTCGAGTGACCAGAAGGCTGCACAAACTGCCAACAACCTGTGCCCCTCTTGCTTTCACTATCGGTGAAGTTCGGGTAGCCATCGGGAAGACGAAAGCCTCCAAAGCCATGGGGCTCAACGGAATGTGCATGTTGATGCTGAAAAATTTGGGTCCTGCGAGAGTAGCGTACATAATGGAGGTCATCAATCTGTCAATGGCCACTCTCTTCATTCCAGACATGTCGAAAAGGGGGAGAGTGGTCCCACTGATCAAACCGGGGATACCAGCCAACAAAGGAGAGCCCTATCGTCCGATAACACTCCTCTCCCCGATAGCGAATACACTAGAGGCCGTTCTACCAAACAGTTGTCCCTTCTTGTTATCTACGTTCTTTGTCAGTACTATATTACAAAGCTGCCTCAAGCACCAGAGGAAGTCTCGATTGTCTCCTATGCTGAAAATTGTTCGATAATGGCGTCTTGAAATGGAATTGAGGACTTGTGCTGGAAACTAAACGGGTATCTCTCCGAGCTTTCTCGCTTCTTCAGTGCTAGGAGCCTAACCCTCTCCCCTACAACATCCTCTGCGACCTTGTTCACCACCTGGACGAAGGAGGTCTGACTACTGCTGGGAATTCACGTCGATGATACACAAATTCGGACGATGAATAACTCCAAATTACTCGGAGTAACCTGCTGCAGTCTGCCCTCCTTCTCTGCGCTCGCAACCGCTATTGTCAACAAAGTACAAAACCACAACAGGATCCTCAAGTCGTTAGTCGGCAGTACTTGGGGCAATGACAAAGAAACGTTGCTGGCAACATACAAGGCAATAGGCTGGACGGTTTTAAATTACGCAGCACCAGTGTGGTCGCCGGGGACTAGTACGACGCAGTGGATGAAGCTGCAGACGACTCAAAACACTGCACCTCGGACAGAGACTGGATGTCTTCTGATGTCGCCAGAACACCACCTACACGACGAGGCGAAAATGCTCCCCATAAAGGAGCACAACACAATACATGTAATAATGTTTCGGATAAGAAAGCTTAACGTTGAAAAGCAATAAGAGGAGAGAGGTCGAAATACGTGAGTGCGAAGAGCTTGAAATGCTAACGGACAGGAAGAATGCGTGAAAATTTTACCAGAGAGTTAGGCGACTTACGGAAGGTTTCAAGACCAGGGCATACTCCTGTAAGAACAACAATGGCGACCTCGTTACCAATATTTAGAACGCACTTAATTATAGAGGGAATACATTTCCAACCTACTGAATGGTAACAGCACGGAAAGTTGTGAAGAAGAAGAACCCGAACCGCCAGTCGATGATGACGGAGTCGATGTTCCACAAAGCTGATGGAGCATATGGCCTGCCAGCTGAGCTATTCAAGTACGGCGGCGATGAGTTGATAAGGTCGCGATCAGGATTGCCGCGATTCGGGCTCAGTATTGTGTACAAATAAGTTTCCACAAGCACTGCCAATTACGTCGTTCGCTTCTGAATTATTTTGATAAATTACCGCGTTTACACGCCACATTCTTAATTCGATTTGACAGTTCATTTTTATTTCCGTCATTTCCTCTCATTCTTTGTTTTGACTTTTTCTACTCTCTTTTTCTCTGACGGCTGAGTTCGATATATTTCCGATTAAAATTAGGGACGGGTTCGTAATTGCATCTGAATTACTTACAAATGAGGTAATTCGCTCTCGAAATTTTTTATGGCGACTAACGTATTCCGAGGGTAATTGTAAAGCGAATTACGAATGAGAATGCGAATTACGTCGTGAGCACAGTTTATCGATAAATTGAATGAAAGTCCATAGTTATTGAAATCGACAACAAAGGGATGCTTTTGACTGACATGCAAGTCAACTCTATGATTTTAAATAGAGAATGCCACATTGGCAACGTGTGCGTTGACGCAACTGATCAGATTTACCCAACTCTCAACTTTTGACGCACGCATATGCGCCAAAACAACAACAACAATTTATGGAACGAATTCAAACCAGCTGGTGTTTGACCAATCAAATTGAGCCGTTTTGTTTGCTGTAACGTTTTCATTGTACCGTGTCGGAATCTTCCTTGCGTTTTATAAGTCAAAACCATCTCTGCGTCGCAGAAAATAATTTCTATCTGGCGGGCCTTTAATAAGAAAAATTGAGATTATAGACATTGAATAGCAATTGATTATTTGGGTTGGCTTTCCTTTATGGCCGTTCGTTAAAGGGGCGGAGGGCGAATGGTAAGTGGGTGTGGCACCTCTAACCCACCTTTTTGGAGAGGAAATGAACCGCCATTGACAAAAATGCAATCCCCGACCACCTAGGTCCCCTATGGTTCCCTAGGGCCCCTTAGAAAAATTGCCAAAAATCACAATTTTCATTTGCGTTTATTCGCTTGAAAAATGTTAAATATTCATTTGCACAATACATTTTTATATACAGATATTTATATACAAGACATTTTTATAAAACACCCAGTAACCAAAATAGACATCACTGGGGCGGCAGCCCCAGGTTTACCCCACAGAAAGGGAATTCTAGTTACCTCATCCTTTCCCAAGGTTACATCACTGGGGCGGTAGCCCCATTTAGGTCACACAGAAAGGAGAATTCTACGTAGTAAGGGTTATAATCCCTAAGCGCGCCCGAAGGCGGCCTACGCAGAAAGGAATTCTACGCAAAAATACTGTGGACGCAAGTAAAAATTGCGATTTTTGCCATTTTTCTAAGGGGTCCGTAGGGAACCATAGGGGGCCTAGGTGGTCGGGGTTGCATTTTTGTCAATGGCGGTTCATGCCCTCTCCAAAAAGGTCGCTTGGCGGTGCCACGCCCACTCCCCCTTCGCCCACCGCACCTTTAACGAACGGCCATAATGGAAAGTTTCCCCGATTATTTCAAATCCCGATTTGTAGCAAAATTTGCTCACCGCAAATCCATGGCAATATTTATGTATATACACAAAAAAGTGGTGTTACACAAATTTAATTTTAATTGGCCTGCATCGTTTGCATCGATCTATGGAACATTGTTAGTCTAAACGCAATGTTGTCAAGCTGATACTATTGTGAATTTATTTCGCAGAGAACGAACGAACAATCGTTCGTGTGGTCATTCCTTCGCCCATTTTCTATCAATCAGTGAACGAATATTCTTTCCTCAAGAAAAGTTCAAAAATTTCGAAACGAAATAGTCGCGGTTTGTTTACTTGTTTTGTTATAAACAAAGTATTTTTATATTGGCTGTAATGGGTTGGCCAACTGAAAAATTGCTTCAACTCATTGAACTATATAAAATGTCGCCATGTCTTTGGGATCCGCAAGATAGATACTATAAAAAAAGTGTAATTAAGGATAGAGCTTGGCAGAGCATCAGCACTAAACTGGGCTACAATCCGGTTGCAACCAAGAAGAAAATGGATTCAATACTTGCCTGCTACCGACGTGAGCGGAAGAAACATGAACTTGATGACTATCATGTTTCCAAGTGGTTCGGCTATGAGCCATTAAATTTCCTGGCTTACAGATCACAAGTTAAGAAACCCCAGTCCGAGGTATGTAAGCGAATATGACATATAAAGAGGACATTTCCATTGTTCATTATCTCTTTAAACATTTCTAGCACCATGATCCTCTGAGCAACATTATACAGCGCGACAAATCACCCAGCCAGCTGCTACAACAACAACCCAGCTACGACGATTCCTTTGAGCCCAAGCAAAGTAAAGTGCACATCGAAGAAACTGAAGTGGTTTCAGACACAGAAAAAGAAAGTAGCCGCTGTCGCCGAAATAACAAAAATAGTCTCGAGAGCAACAGACGAGACGTCAGTGATGTCTTTGGCGAATATGTGGCAACAAAGCATCGAAAGTATAGTGAACATGTCAAGAATGTCATAGAGCATCAAATTGCACAAATTTTATTTGATGCAGATATGGGAACCTATAATCCTGGAACAACAACAACGATTACAATTTCCGGAAGAGCGCCACCTATTGACACTGAGGCAGAAGGATCGGAAGATTTTATCAATGCAAATTAAATTAATAAAGGAAGTTTTAAGTTTTAATATTAGAAACAAATAAGTACATACATAATTAGGGGGAGTGTGCACATAGAGACAAAACAGTATCACAAGAAAAATAGCTTCATGCATAAAAAAACGAATAACACAAAATTCAATAGATTTACCTTTCCCGCTTATACTGTGTTTACTAACCCGCCCACCTTTAGTTCATACACTTCACACTTTTAGTTCATACAAATTTGAAGCAAAAATATTTCAAAGTGTATAAACTAAAGATGGGCAGGGTAGTATACACGGAAACTATTGGTGTTGCTCGTTTCATTTGAAAAGTGTTTACACGAGGCGATTTTGCGTTCAACTCACGCAGGGTTGAACTTATATGGGATCAACCGAAATTGAACGTCGTGCGTAAAAAGCTAACTCGAACTCCAAGATCTGTGTTGCGTGACATTTCGATTTGACGTTTGTGCTCGTTTGACATTTTAACGCGACTATTGCCTGGGTTATAATGGAAGTAACGGAACGGAGTGAATTGTCACTTAATTGTCTATTGCATGGGAAATGGTTATAATGCACGTAACGTAACGTAAAACGGAACAATCTAAAATCAATAGATCCTTACGAATTCGCCCTTTTTTATTATTTACGTTCTTTGGCAATATGAAAGATGAAATAATATATTTTAAGATATTTTAAAAACTCGTATTTATGTATGGGCCGATATACGCATGTGTTTATGAATGACATTGTTATTAGTTGCGTTCGACAACACAAAAATTTGTAGTAGATTTTGCCAATTTTTACTGGGTGGTGTTCGATAACGACAAAAAATTATCCAACACACAAAAATTGAGAGAGCAAGCGTTCATTTTGATGCAAGAGAAGCGTGCAGTAGTATTGCGGGTGTTATGTAAAATCTCAGTTCGCCCCAAAGTTTACATGTATTTTGTTTTTGCTTTTGATGGGTGGGTGTGTCAAATCAGTAAAAGTAATACATGTAAGGCTAAATAATGAGCTGATCAAGGCGGATTAATATAAGGTGACAGCAGGAGTACAAAAACAAAAATTTACATGTATTTTGTTTTTGCTTTGGCGGCATAAACTGTCAAAATCTCTAAGAGTGTGTGTAGAAATTCAAACAAAATTTTTCAATTTGATATCAGAAGCCATGCGGCGAAACACATACACAAAATCAGCTGAGCTAGTAACACCACCTTATATTAATTCGCCTTGCAGCTGACTTTACAACATCGCCTTGTATAAATTCGCCTTGATTTCTATCATCGATCCCTCCCTCTTGAACGTTCTTTATCGCCGCGAAACCTTCTAGACTCACCCGCCACAGTTCAGCGAATTGTCCCTTATAAATTTACCTTCTTTGCTTTGATAATTAATTAAGGATAATTATGAGTAAAGAAACAGACCTAATCTTATACAATCGTTTTGTATCTCATCTATTACCTGTACAAACACATGTTCCTTTTGGCGTTTCTTTTCGCAAACAGCTGACTGACCAAAACAAAACAAAAACGCACAGGTGACTAATTGCGCGTTTTGCAAATAGTAAATGCTAAAATTTATTTATTTCACCATAAATAGTGTGGAAAGTAAACAACTAAGCTATTTAAAATAACAAAACAATATGGAGGTTGAGTTCAGTAAAGAGAACTTCATGCTGCCGGAAATCAAATACGAATGTAAGCACTGCAGCCGCCGTCTTCAAAGCATTAGCCATGTTTTTAATGAAATTGTCTATATCTCTTACAGATCTAGACCACACAGCGGATGTGCAGTGAGTAAATGCATATTTTGCAATGAAGGGTTACACATATATATATATATATATATCTTTGCAGATTGCACGCCTGGGGATCCACGCTACAAGAGGCTTTCGAGCAATGCGGCATGGCTATGTTTGGCTATATGACTGATCTGGCTTATGTCACTGTGGGGCATTGTTTTCAAATTGAAGCAAAAGGTGACGATGTCGAAGGCTTATTATTTCATTTTCTCGATGAGCTGTTGTTCCTCTTCTCCGCTGAACCTTTTCTTATTTGTAAAAAATTGGAAATAACCAAATTCGATTTGGAAGAATTGGAGATAGAATGTCGTTGTTATGGTGAGCCCTTCGAAATTGGCAAACATCCACAAGGTACTGAAGTGAAAGCGATCACCTATTCGGCAATGCAAGTGATACAGGAACCCGAGCGAAATCATTTTGAAATTTTTGTTATTATTGATATTTGAAGATATGGGGAGTTGGAGCTCGATGGACGCCTTATAAAAACAAGAATTTTCTTTTATGGGACTTGTAAAAAGTTAGGTACGACTAATCACGAACATACGAGTAGTTTATTTTGAAAGTAGCCTATGTCATTTCCACCTTTTGTACATAAATGTTTGCTTGCTTCTAAATGAATGCATCTGTAATTTGGTTTACCGTCCTAGACGAATGACGAAACTTTTTACCTTTGACCGATGAAGTTGAACAAATACCAGACGAGTTGAGATGCAGGTAAATTAACAGCATGAAATACTTGTGTCACTTTCAAATTAAACGGCTAATATGTACGTATGTATGTTAAATGATATAAAATATTGCGTGCCTGGGGGTAATGTAATCGTGATATCAAATTTTTTATATGATCTTGAGAGTTGCGTTTCAATCTAATCTAATGGATGATAATGTGAGTTCTTAAGTTAACCAGTGTTTTTAAATACAGTAATGCCGAATTTCCACTAGGCATTAAAATGACAAACAAATTATGCCATTTAAAAAAATGCCATGTGGAAATGAACTTAATGAAATTTTTTTTATGTAATGACACGATAATTTTTTAATGCCCGACTTTGTCATTTGTCATTTTTGCCATTTAATGCGTAGTGGAAATCCAGCATAAAAAGTATATTTTTTTTAGTAATATGAAGTCCAAACTATTCGAATCTATTATCTATTAGCTATAGCGTATGAACTTTCTAAACAAATTGTTTATGATTTTGAGAGAAATTAAGCACAAATCTAAAGTACTCACTTTCTGGCGAGATTTGTACTTAGGAGCCTGAGCCTTCCTTTAAACTACAAAAAAAATCCTCAGGACAAATAAAAAAAAGCAACAAAAAATCTTATAAGGGATGAAATGCAGTTTTTCTCAGGGAAGAAAAATGGTTACACACCGCATTTACATTAACATAAAATGTGAAAAATACTCGCAATCCTATGCAGTGAGTGTACATACATATGTACATATGTATTCGCTGTGAAGCGTTGGTAGCTTCAATTCTCAGAATGGTCTGCAAAGTTCCATCAATGCATTTTAGAAATATAAATTTGCATCCCTTTTATAAGAACACAAAAGTAATTGCAATACGATTATGCCTGCGTAGATTTCGGAAGATCATTGAACTCTTAATGGCTTGAAACCATTTTTTTAGCGAAGCGAGTAATATCAGAATACGTACATGATTAGCCTTATTGCCAACTCCATGTGAAAAAATCGTTCCCATAATTTAACATGCAAAACAAAAACAAATTGGGAAAAATTGTTTTTGTTTTGCTTTATAATTTTTGGGAATATTTGTTCACATGAAATTCGCGATAAGGCCTAATACGTATATTATGTGCATACATATATATGTAGACACTTAAGTATATTTATCGAGTATAAGTTTAAAATATATGTATGTACGAACATAGTGTGTACATACATATGTATAAGCCAAAAAGTACTTTTATGCATAGGAACTAGAGGCCATAAAATGTTTGCGCATATCGCTCATTTACTCCAAAAGAGTCATGATCCAAAAAATATAAATTTTGTGTTGAGTATGCAGAAATTACCGCTACCTCTTATTCTATGTTATGCAAAAATTTCATAGCTGTATCGATTACCAGCATCTCACTAGACCAAAATATGTAGTAATTTTTACTATGACACTATTGAAGTAAATGACAGACATGTACGCAAAGTAATAAATATGCACATATGTATTAACAATAGCCACGCACTAAGGTAATTTATCATAAACTTTTATATCTATTGATGTGTGTATAAGGTTGATAATTCGTGTGCTCCCCACAAAAATTTTCTGAGCGTCCGAGTCCGAAAGAAGTCCTAGTTGGGTAAGAAATATGAGTTTCAAAAACAAAAAATGTGTGACTCATGTATATGAATCTTTTAGGAGTCATATATGATCCAAGTTATGAGTCTGAAATGATTCATATATGAGGCCAAAAATTGTCTTAACATAGTCCAAAATGAGACGTATATGAGGCCAATATGACTCGTATTGGGGCTCATTTGATTTATGAATTTAAGCTGATATAAGTCGACCTTCGAAGGAAGGGAAACACGCTCATTTCGGACTCTTAAATGAGCACATTATGAGCATAAATCCTCTGAAATAGAACTTCTTATAGATGCATCTATGACTCCAAATGTTTGCTGGGTTATGGCTCATAATATATGTATGGGGGTGCCATTGGTACCAAGTTCGCAAGCGCTTGTAAATTAATAAGCCAACCTTCCCGCCAATTTTGTGGCTTGGGGCCATACATATGTATTTACATGTGTATGTGTGGACGTGATAAATGCTCCTCCAAGCTTCAACAAATAAGGTAATAAGACAAAGTGAAAAAACATTTGCTGCGGCATCAGCTAGTTGTTAGCTTCGTACATAACTAAGCTGAGAGAGCGTATATTTAGCGTCCCCTTTTTTAGCTCCGATTTTAGAGTTAAAAAAATGCTAAAAAGGGGAGCGAGACATGAATTCCACAATTCATTGGCGTTCGAATCCGATCGTAGCGAATAACGAACTTCGAAAGTATGTACCTATGTATGTATGTATGTATGTATATACATAAGCCTCTCGAAAATCCTGCTTTGTATAAAGTCGGTAGAATTAATTAGTAAACATTTAACAGATTTTTAAACGGCTTAGCAAGAGTTTACAACAGCAACCACATGTGAGCCTTCTATATTTAATGTAACGATTTTTTTTCATTTGCTGTACAAAATCAGGGCTCGAATCGTAACATCCATACACGGAT